TAAGCGACTTTTGTCGGATATAATCTAAGTGCAAATCGTGAGAACCGATGCTGCCTTTAGTGTTAGAGAACCCAAAAATTCTGCGCAACCAATTAAATTTCAAGATCAGGTGTAACACGAAGTTTAACGATATACGTTTATAATAATAAATTTTATATAAGTATATATATATAATTTATATAATAATAAAATTATCAATAGAATAGTAAAAAAACTAAACAATAAATTGCCATCATTGAATAATGGCTATGCGATAACGATAAATATATTCTGTAAAGATTTTAACAAATTAGTTTCAGTAAATTTCAATGAGCAATTTAATTTGATGACAGTTATATTTCGACATTTATTAAGAGGGTTTCTACGAAATACATTAATTAACTGTTAAAAAGGAACTTAAAATCAAGTATTTAATCGGCACCGATAGCACCTGAAGAAATTAAATAATCTTCGAGCCCTAAATCGACCATCATTAGATCAAATACATTAATTAGAACAGGTTTTTTTTCTTTTTTATAATAAGAATAACAATAATAGCATTATTACTTTTGAGGCTCATGTTTATTCCACCCAATTGGTCGGATCCAACCAGCTGCAATTTCATGTCACCTTCGCCATAAATCAACAAAGTTGGTAAATTTTTATCTGGATAGTTTGGTATACATTGATCGCCAATTATCTTTATAAACTTGGTCGCCTTATATTTTGCGGCAAGAGTAGACAGGTGTGAATTCATGAGTTTACACTCCGGTATACTAACCATAATTATGGGAATAAATTATCTGCAACTTTGCAATGGTATTAATGTACACACATACTCACGGATCTTTAAACAAATGCACTACCACCCAAACTTCTTTACTAGCATCGGTTACTTCTCTTACAAAATCAGGTTTCGATATTTGAATTACTTCACCAAATTTAGCACGTAAGGCTTCAGCCTTCATTTCAGCTATCCTTCTCTGTCTTTATAATAGAAAACAGAAGTACATTAGGTTTATTGCACGATGTCATCGTATTATAATTAAAATTTTACCTATATTCCAATAATACATGTTCATCCTCTTCGTCTTCCAACTCATCTAATTCATCCAATGTTTTATCATCCAGATGCTTATCTTGTTTTTCCATGACAGCTTGGTCCATGGCTTCTAGTATCTCTTCTTCCGTTGGTCCCTCTTTTGGAGGAAGAATTCCTCGAGCACGAAGAATGTCGTTCCTACATGATTGGATCAAAATGAATGAATTGCGATATATTGAATTGTATAATAAAGTCAGTTGCAAAAATATACCATTCTGTATCAGCATTTGGATCATCCATTTTTTTGAGATAAGGCTTTTTATATCAATAACGATTGCGAATTTCTCAAAATATGATTCTCAAGTTACACAAATCCATAATTCGAAGAGACCTGATTGGTCAACTTTCATAGTCCTAG